GTGCCCGCGCCCGGGCGAGGTGGGGCGGCTGCGGGGCGATCGCCGCCGGGGCGCCTGCGGGAGCGCTTCCCCTGGGGCTGGAGGACAGTCGCTTTCTAATTGGGTGGTTATTTTCCCTGTACCAAAGGAGATCTAGATAAAAAATGTCTTCTGTGCAGCTGAGAGGGGGTTTTGTGTGCAAACCCAAACTGAAAGCTGCATCTTGAAAACTTGATTATAAATAAAGAACAATTTTTATCCGGATTTCGAGTTTGCCTAATTTACATTCTTATCGTATGTATCTGAGTAGAACAGTGTTTTGGTGTATGATGAAGCGGTACTACAGTCAAGGAGATTAACCTGTCCTTTTCTTTTTTTATTACGCTTGCGTTTCAGCAGAGCTTTTCTGTGTGGTCCTTGTAGGTTGCTATGAGCCCATTTTAATTTCCCACTGAATGTTGAGGGATGACAGCGTACAGGGAGCTGTTGATGATGACAGGAGTAAGAACGCGGGCCCTGGGGCCGTGATTACAATTCTTTGAGGCTCCTGAGCGGCTGGCGTGCGAGGCTAGTGATGGGAGGAAGAAGTGGACAGAACACCTCCTTGGGATTCAGCTCCGCTGCAGATTGACTTAGTTACTGATTTGCTGAGAGCCGCGTCTGTTCAGTAGCATCAGGTTTTTAAATCTGTGGTTGTCGGGACGCTGGTGGCTGTTTTGCAGGAAGACCAGGGAGTGTATCAGAGCAAAGTTCGGGACATGATCAGTGACAGCCAGTACCGGCTGATTGTCAGCGTGAACGACCTTCGCAGGAAAAATGAGAGGAGAGCCAACCGGTGAGCAGCCAGGGCCTTGTGGGCTGTGGCGGGAGGCATGTATGTCTTGGATGGAGAGAGCGGCCTCAAGTCCCTTTTGCTCAGATTGGAACCGGCTTCCCAGGAAAGGACATGGATGGCAGAGGATTCACCTAGAAGCCCTCTGTGCCCCCCTAAAAAAGTGGGCATGTTCCTCTGACGCGTCCTTCCTCCGGTGTCTAGCCAGATATTTTTATGTCTCTGATAAGTTGACCTGAAGCTTGTCCTTAGTTCTTATGCATGTTGCAGTCTTACAGGATTGCAGCCGAAAGTAGGAGCTGGGTTTCCTTCCCTTGACCATACTGATCTAAGAGTGTTTACTTCTGTTTTGAGGGTTGGTTTTTTTTTTGGAGTTCTGCCTCTTCTGCCCAGTTATTCTTTCTTGTGCCCATTCACAGCCTTCTGAGCAATGCGTTTGAGGAGCTGGTTGCCTTCCAGCGGGCCTTGAAGGATTTTGTGGCCTCCATTGATGCTACCTACGCCAAGCAGTACGAGGAGTTCTACATAGGCCTGGAGGGCAGCTTTGGCTCCAAGCACGTCTCTCCCCGGACTCTCACTTCCTGCTTCCTCAGCTGCGTGGTCTGTGTGGAGGGCATCGTCACTAAGTGTGAGTGGGGTGACGGCGCAGGGCACTCGGGAAGTGGAAGCAGGATAGGCCTACAGAGGCTGGGAAAGTGGCGAGGCAGAGTAGATCTGGGTAGCTTGTGGCATCAGGGAGGGGGGCCCTGAAATTGTGTCAGGAGACACGGAGGTGCTCAGAGGTGCACAGTGATTAGGGAGTCTCTGGGTGAGTGCTGTGAACTGGCAGAACGGTGAATTTGGCCATGGCCGAGAGCTGTTAGGAGTCTTGGCTCCTGGCAGTCTCTTTCCAACCCCAACACCTCCGGTTTCTCAGTCAGGATCAGGGGTCCTTAGCTCTCACAGGAGCTGAGGTGTTCTGTATATACCCACAGGGATGAGTGAGTGACGGGGAGCATGGAAACAGCCTGACCTCCTTGGGAAACGTGGTACTTGGAATGATCGCGGGCTCGCGTGGGTGTAGAGGCCACCTCCGTCACCGTCTAGTTGGATGATTTTGTGTGTGCATTTTCCACTTCTAGGCTCTCTAGTTCGTCCCAAAGTCGTTCGCAGTGTCCACTACTGTCCTGCTACCAAGAAGACTATAGAGCGACGTTATTCTGATCTCACTAACCTGGTGGCCTTTCCGTCCAGCTCTGTCTATCCCACCAAGGTAAGGGCCGTGAATTAATTTGGTCTCCTTGGGGGCTGCAGTCAAGGTACTTGTGGTATCCTGTGTATCCTACCTCGCCCAGTGGTGCTGAGCCAACCCAGGTTTAGGCAAGTGCTTTTCCTCTGAGCTATGTCCTCCAGCCCGAAGATTCCGATTTTAATGTAGGTAGTGGTGTAATAGCAGAACTCTTTCTTCTGGAAGTCGGTAGTGTGCAAAGTAAGGATTCATTCAAAGGGAAGATTGATTATAAGCTCACATTTAATGTGAAAACTATAATTCTTTTTTTTTTTTTTTAAAGAATATGCCTGATGTAGTGGCGCATACCTGTAATTCCAGCACTTGTAAAGCATCACCTTGAGTTTAAGGCCAACCTGGGCTACCTAGGGAATTCCAGGCCAGCCTGAACACATAGTGAGACCCTGTCTCAAAAAAAAACCGAACAAACACAAAAGAGTAAATACTTACTTCGGAAAATTTGAAATATGGAAAAATATGGGAAAGCAGCGAACTATACAGAATTTTTAGCAGTTATAATCAAATATAACTGTAATTTTGCTTTTTAAAAGTGAAATGGGAAGTGTGCTATATTAGTGCTGTTGTGTAATCTTTGCAAATGTTTCACTGGACTTGGGAGAAGGCTGGCGTGGAAAGGCCTCAGACTGCTCAGATCGATCCGAATGGAGGACAGGGCTTTCTTAATGAGACAGAAGATCATTAAAATTGATTACTTGATGTCTGAACTCATACTGTCAAAGACACCTCCCCTTCAAATTTTAATTGAATTTTACTTTATCCATAGTACAGTGCTCTGAGGAATTACGGACAGCCTATAAATAAGAGGCAGTTGACGAGATTGTCTTGAAGGGGAAATCAAACTTACAAAGAATTAAAGCAAGGGTATTTTAGCATTAGAACTGAAATACACTTCAGTTTCTCTTAGTCTGCCTCCAGACGAAATGATGAGACTTAGAGAGGGTAAGTGACTTGTTTATGTCCCGGGGAGTGGTGACTCCTAAGCACTGAGACCCACGTACCTTTAGTTGAGGCCAGGTACGTTTTCTGTCACCTGTTCTCTTCATTAAGATTCCCGATTTTACAGTTTCTTCTTCAGGGTGTGCTCTTATGCTGATTTCTATGGCCAAGTTTCTTTGCTTGAGAACAGATACCCTGGGCCGTGTCTCCTGGAGATATCTGCCCCGGTGCTTAAGATAATGGGCTTTGGACTTCCACTTGCATGGAGCCCTGGCACTGCTATTTACTCTCTGACCTTGGGAGACGTTTAACCTCTCCCGTGTGTTTCCTTGCCTGTAAAATGTGGGAAATACCTGCTTTATAAGATTTTTATGATTATGCAACATAATTTCCTAAAATAATAACCGATCCTGGCACATAGCAAGTATTCAGTAAGTGATGGCTATTTTGTTTTTAAAACTTCAAATATCAAAGAAGTGAAGGGGCTGGGGATTTAGCTCAGTGGCAAAGCGCCTGCCTGGCAAGTGCAAGGTCGTGAGTTCGGTTCCCGGTACCGGAGAAAAACAAAAAACAAACAAACAAAAAAAAAAAATCAAAGAAGTGAAATTTCTTACAGAATTTAAGATACATATAGGCTGTTATCGCACAAGTGTATAACTTGATGAATTGTTGTAAGCTGAGTATATGCGGGGAGCCAGCATTTAAGCCAGGAAATGGGAATTTAGTGACTCTCAGAAGGCAGAGAGCCACGCTGTCATGGTGGCTGACAGTGTAGATTGCTGCACGGTATTCATTCCTGCCTGCTTAGCTATTATGTAGTGTGTGTGGAGGGCATGTGGTCATATCACATCTATTTAACTAGTCCTCTATTGATGACATGGATGCGTTTGGATTTCTGCCTACACTAAGCCTCCGACTTATGAATGAGTTCCGTTTCAGGAACATGTTTGTAAGTCGGATTCATTTGTAAGTCCAACAAAATGAATCTTAAACACCTTTGGCACAAATACACAATATAAAGCATAAGAAAAAAAACAGACCTTCACATCATTACTGCATTTCCTCTCGCTTCTGGGCCTGCTGGGCTCTGATCCGCACCGACACCGCCCCACTGTGTAGCAAGCACACAGCAGCGCAGCCTGACGGCTCCAGGGGGCCTGGGACCTGCTTCTGCGGTTTGTTCGCACATGTAACCTGAGGCGTGTCCTTTCTGTGGAAGTGTGCGCCTTGGGTGTGCATGAAGTCCTAGCGTATTAGGAACAGTGCTGCTGAGTACCGCAGTGCGTGGCTCTGGGTGAGTGTTTCCGTCGGGTTCCGACTGGGAAAGCCATCAGGAGTGTCACTCTGTGTGCACCTTTCGTAGAGGGAGTAAGAATACAAATTTAAATGTTGCTACAGCTGTGGTTCCATCTGAGCGTGTATTGTCCCTACCATTAGACAGTTACTGGGCCAGAGACGGGGATGGAAGAAGTTGGGGAGATACTTGGCTGTGTTTTATTTCTAGACTGAAATCTTGTGAAGTCCTCACTGAAGTACGTGTTCTGTGCCAGATGAGTGTGGCAGTTTTAAGGTCAGACTACAGTAAGTGTTTTTCTTCGTGCCGTTTTCTAGGACGAGGAGAACAACCCCCTTGAGACAGAATACGGCCTTTCTGTCTATAAGGACCACCAGACCGTCACCATCCAGGAGATGCCGGAGAAGGCCCCCGCCGGCCAGCTGCCCCGCTCTGTGGATGTCATTCTGGATGACGACTTGGTGGATAAAGTGAAGCCTGGGGACCGAGTCCAGGTGGTGGGGACCTACCGCTGCCTTCCTGGAAAGAAAGGAGGCTACACCTCAGGGACCTTCAGGTAAAAGGTGTTGCAGTCCTGGGGGCCACTTCTGTCTCTGGTAGTACTCTTCCTGCGGTGTGTCATGTTTCAAAGCGCTCTAGCCGACAGGTTCAGCATAGTACCTGTGCAATGGGATTCCTCCCGCCTCCTGCCTGTCAGATAAAGCTGTGACGCTTCCACCATCTTTGGTGAAAAGTGGGAGTGATTGGTGGTACAGTTACAGCCTTCCGGCTTACCTGGGACTTCCTTATTCCAAGGTCCTTCTCATTTGTGCTTGCGTCTGAATCTCTGAGTCAGCAGAGCATAGATAAACTGCAGAGCTGGCATCATGAACCTATTTGGGTGATGGACAGGGATTCGGTTATTGAGTTCAGAACAACTTCCCCCCAGATTTGATGGTCACCTTTAATAGCCTAAAAGGCTTACTGTTGCTTGTAGCAGCAGTGACCGATTTGGGGAACGGAGCGTTACAGCAGGCTTCCTCCTCTCTCCCCTTTGTCCCAGGACTGTCCTGATTGCCTGCAATGTGAAGCAGATGAGCAAGGACATCCAGCCGTCCTTCTCTGCTGAGGACATTGCCAAGATCAAGAAGTTCAGCAAAACTCGTTCCAAGGTCTGGGCATGTTTTAGGGATTCTGGGGTGGGAACAGGTTTTCCAGGGTTTTGCTGGAGTGTGTGGCTGTCTTCGTGCTGGATCAGGAGGAAGGTCAGGATTTTTTCCCTCTGAAGTATTTGTTACTAGCTTCTTTCCCTTTTGTCCAATCAGCAAAGGAAAGGAGGTTCTTGGTGCTTGGTCTGATTGTTCGGTTACCTGCTGGGCTCCTAAGTGAACCTAATGCAGGTGTTAGGATAGGACTAAGGCTATCAGTGTTTCCGTGTAGTCTTTTTTGTTATTAAAGATATCAATGGTGCATGGTCGCTTAAATTTAAAATGTTATGTTACTTTTGTTTTACTCCTTCAACTGTTACCTTTTTTCAGCTGTCTGCATTTAGAATTGAACACAATGTAGGAATGTGTTGTAAAGGTTACTGATAAAATGCAGTGCACATTCCTATTAAGCCTAAAAGGTTTTGCACTTGGGAACACTCGTTTTTTTCTTGAAGATGCAACTTCTAAACAAACTGGCCTCTAAGCTGCCCCTGTACCTGCTGTGACAGTGGTCTGCTGAAGTGATTTGTCTTCTAGCAGAAGTGTTTATAACAAAAACAGTGTTTACATTTGTATATTTCTTTAAGCATTTTCCAAAAGCAAAATACAGCATGGAGCTCTGGGAACCACGGTGGTGCTTCCGAGGCCCCTCACCCCGCGGGCTCCCTCTGCTCTAGGATGTCTTTGACCAGCTGGCCAGATCGCTGGCCCCCAGCATCCATGGGCACGACTACGTCAAGAAGGCCATCCTCTGCCTGCTGCTGGGCGGGGTGGAGCGAGACCTAGAGAACGGCAGCCACATCCGTGGGGACATCAATATTCTTCTGATAGGTATGGGCTTGGGGACTGACTTCCGACTCCTGCTGGTAACAGGGAAGAGGGGTCGTGAGGCCCTGTCACGTGGACGTGTGGCATCTCTGCCTCTCGGTGCTTTAGTCCCGTCAGGGAGCAAGAGGCTCAAGTGAATCTATCTAGAAACCATTCAGCACATTCCGTGCTGGACAAGCAGAGCTTGGTGGGGAGGGAGCGAATTCCCAGAGAACCCTTCGTCGTTCCCGGCCCTCAGGAGACCCCTCGGTCGCCAAGTCTCAGCTCCTGCGGTACGTGCTGTGCACCGCGCCCCGCGCGATCCCCACCACCGGCCGTGGCTCCTCTGGCGTGGGCCTCACCGCTGCGGTCACCACAGACCAGGAAACAGGTGAGGGGGTGTGAGTCCTTGGCAGAGGCCCGTCGCGACGCTGTGCACACTCCTTGAGTTTGTCTCAGGCCTGGCTTGTGTTTGGGGATACAGTTGAAAGGTAGTCAGGCTGGGTTATACAGGACCGAGCGCCTGCAGTGGTGGGAGAAGCAGTCTAGACTTTGGCTGACACTGACAAGAATATCTCCTAGAAGGTAACTGGAAAGAATCTCAAAAGAGGAAGCTGAGAAGTGTGCAAGTGCAGTAAAAGCGAGGATTGGCCTGTTGTGAACTAGAGGAAGGATTTAAAGACCAATGAAAAGAGAAGCCTACTTCAGTATCTCTTGAGGGTGGGGACGAGGAGGAGACTCTACGGGGGCTTATGAGAGGCTAGCTTAGGGGCCAGAGTGAGACAAGAAGGTACTGTTGAGATTGGAACTAACAAGATAACCCAGCCGGGGATATAGCTCGGCAGCACAAGCGGCTGCCTGGCAAGCGCAAGGTCCCGAGTTTGATTCCTGGTACAAAAAAAAAGGTAACCCATCGAGTTTCCGGTTAGCCTTGAGCCGAAGTTCCTTTACTGTATTCTCTTGCTGCAGTGAGAGTGCCTAGGAGGGAGACTGAGAGCTCTGCCCCCTGGTTTCTGGAAGCTCCACTGTGTGCCACTCCGTGCCCCTTCTCTCCCCAGGGGAGCGTCGTCTCGAGGCGGGGGCCATGGTCCTGGCTGACAGAGGTGTGGTGTGCATCGACGAATTTGACAAGATGTCCGATATGGACCGCACGGCCATCCATGAGGTGATGGAGCAGGGGCGAGTGACCATCGCCAAGGCTGGCATCCACGCTCGCCTGAATGCCCGCTGCAGTGTTTTGGCAGCTGCCAACCCCGTCTATGGCCGGGTGAGTGGAAACCACGTTCACGCTGTGACCCCGCTGCGTCGCTGGGCCGAGTCTTTTCTAGGGGAAAATGGGCTCAAGGGGAAGAGAAATTCATCTCCTATTGTCTTTGGTTTGGAGCGGCTGCTCCTGACACACTCCTGCTCAGCAGACTGCTCTTGACAGCTATGTGTGAATAACGTCTCTAGAAATACAGAAAACAAGAAGAAGACAAAGTGTTCTGCGGTCTCAGAATCCAAGGGACTTCATCGTCATTAAATTCAAAGTCCTCCATGCACAGAAGAGGAGAATTTCTGAACAAAGCCAAGTTACAATGTACCAATTAAAAGCCTCGCTTCTTTTTTTAAATTTTTTTTGCAGTACCGGGGGTTGAACTCACGACCTTGTGCTGGACAGGCAGGTGCTTATGCCACTGAGCTATATCCCCAGCCCAGAAGCCTCTTTTCCTGTCCCTTTTCTAAGAGATCACCACTAACAATTTGGCGGTTAAAAGAAAGAAAAATTTCAGCGTGTACTGAACCAGCAAATACCCTAGTTCCTTGTGAAGAATTAATTATATTTGTCTTTGTTTTTATCATTGCTGTGATAGGCCTAGGTATATCTTATATTTAGTCTGCTTGGTGTTTACTGAGTTTTGTATTTCTTTTAAATGGTTTTCTAATATTTTGTGATATAGACCAGTGGTGGTGAACCTTTTATTTTTATTTTTTATTTGTTTTTGAGGCAGGGTCTTGCTACGCAGTTCAGGCTGGCCTTGAACTCACTGTGTAGCCCAGGCTGGCCTCAAACTTGCTGTGATCCTCCTGCCTCGGCCTCCCAAGTGCTAGGATTACAAGCATGTGCTCCTGTGCCCAACTGGCACACCTTTTAGAGACCAAGTGCTCAAACTGCTTGTGGTGTCACTGCCAGGCACCGCTACTTTCCGAGCGTGGTCACTGTCCCTATTTTTGCTGTTATCGGTGCTTAGCTGCTGGGATGATGCTGGTGGCTTGGCTTGCTTGCCCCCAGAGAGGGCTCTGCATGCCCGCTGTGGCACATGTGCCATAGGTTTGCCTAACGTGTAGCTGTGTAGTAACTTACTTAACTGTACTCCATTTGATGGGCGTTGGTCCCTATCCCCCATCACCGCCTGGGCTATTAGGAATGAAGCAGTAAGGGCTGGGAATATAGCTCAGTGGTACAAGTGCCTGCCTGGCAAGCGCAAGGTCCTGCGTTCAATTCTCAGTACCAAAAAAAAATGAATATCCTTTTATTTGTATTTTGTAATACTCTTGGAATCTGTGGTATGAATACCTAGCAGTGGAATTACTGGATTGAGTGTTATGTACGTTCTTGCTTTGGCAGAGATTGACACATTGCCTTTTCAAATACTGTCTCATCGCAGTACTTCCATTAACTAGTACTTACACGTGCTTTAAGTTTGTCACCTTCTTTCCTTCTCTCAATAATGCGAGGTAGTAGGTATTTTCATTTTATAGATGAGGACCTGGAGGCGCAGGTACATAGTTTGCTCAAGAGTCCCAGACTAGGACACGGCAGGGCTGGGACTTGACTCAGAGCTGCAGCGGTCCCCTGGCAGTGTAGGGTCCCACACATATGGAGCACTTATTTTGGTGGCTCTTTAAACATACAGATATGTGTGGTCCTTGGACCAAGGTTTCTGAATTGAAATCTCTGGCTTGGAAATACTTCTAGCTATGACTTAGAAAGGCTGTAATGTGTAGACTGAGCTGAGAAACATAGGCTTTTAAATCAATGGCAATGTGTGATTAAACCAGAAGGATGATTAGGAAAATGGCAGGATCTGAAATGTGAGCATGGTCGAAGCCATTGTCCCCAGGTTGTTAGAAGGCTTCTGGCTCGAAGGGTACATGAGTGCGTAGGCATCGGCCCAGCAGTCCCAGAATTGAAAGATAACGTGTACATTTTTAAATCCCAAGGAAAAGCTCCCTAGATTGCCAAGACATCACTGTTTATGGGTCGCTGACCGTCTTACTTGAGATTTACCCTCTCAGTGCGCGCTTCTGCCCTGCCGGCCCTCTCTCTGTAGGGGAGGAGGACTCACCTGTCAGACTTGATCCTGCCTTGGAAATGAGAAGAGCAGACTCAGGCGTGGGCAGGACGGGGCAGGGAGCGACACCGCGCACAGCCCGTGAGAGGCTCTTGCAGGAGGAGGCTGGCTGCTGGCTTAGTGCAGGTCGCCTGGGCTTTAGCCAGGGCAGGGTTGCAAGTGGGAGACATTTGTGTATTTTAACAGCTTTAAAATCCCTCATCTTTTCACCGCTTCTGCTTTGTCCTCGCTGTAACCTTCCCTTTCCGCCCTCAGAATCGATCCGCCTCGTTGCCTTTCCGTCCGTTAATGCTGCCTGCTCTTCCTTCTGTCTTGTGTCCCCAGTACGACCAGTACAAGACCCCGATGGAGAACATTGGGCTTCAGGACTCGCTGCTGTCTCGCTTCGACTTGCTCTTCATTATGCTGGATCAGATGGACCCGGAGCAGGACCGGGAGATCTCGGACCACGTCCTGAGGATGCACCGTTACAGGGCGCCTGGGGAGCAGGATGGCGACGGTGAGGCCACGGGAAGAGCCGTGGTGCTGTGGAAGGGCCCTGAGCCGAAGGCGCCGTCTCAGGCCCCACCCAGGGGAAGGTGGTTCGGGCCTGCGCCCCTCCCTTCCGGCTCTTCTGAGGTTATTGTAAGGCGCGTCTTTGTCTTTTTTGTGTTGTGGGCTACCTGTGTGGGCCGTGCCGTTCCAGCCGCTTGGTCATTTCCAGGAATCTGGTTTTTTCTGGGGCCTTGCTTTGTGAGTCTTGGTCTCTTGCTTTCCTGTGCTGTGGAAGAAGCAATTTCCCTTAGGTTAAACCCCCTCTCCCTTTCCCCCGTCTTGGCTTTCCCAGCTATGCCCTTGGGTAGTGCTGTTGATATCCTGGCCACAGATGACCCCGACTTTACCCAGGACGACCAGCCAGACACTCAGATTTATGAGAAGCATGACAACCTGCTGCATGGGACCAAGAAGAAAAAGTGAGAATCCTTTTATCTCTGCCTTGAGCGAACTTGAGATTGGTAGCCTATTAGAACGCACGTGTCGGAGGTTAGTTCGGGCATTCTGTGCAGGCCAAGGTCACGCGTGGAGTCCGAACCCTTGGGCCCGTTTCCCGCTCTGAGCCCGCAGGGCCACCCTGTGTTCATCCTTGCCGGCCCTGTGGGCGACTCAGTCCACGATCACACGTTCTAAGGGTTTGGTGACACGCGCATGGGGTCGCTCCCGCGTGCCGGTCACGTCACTGTGAACCCCGGTCCTGGGGTCGCTGGTGGCGAGCCCTGGAGACTTTGCAGGTAGCTGTGGTTGAAGGTGACTGTGATCCGATGTGCGAAGCGTGACGTGTGCGCTCGTGTTCCACGGCTTTTGGCCGTGTGCGGTGTGCACAGCGTCCTCTTCAAAGCTGTTCAGTTTGATTGTATAGAATTTGGAGTCAGAAAGCTGAATCCGAGTCCTCATCAGCTTCCTTGAGTCGTGGGTTTCCTACTTACAAAATCAGGCGATACATCTTATACTCTGCTTCCTCCCTAATTTAAAAATAACACCTCAATCTACACAATGTGTAAGAGCCTTTCTCGTCTGAGTTCATATAAACGGCGTTGATGAGAATGGGGTCTGCGAGGCAGGCCTCTCTGCTCTGCGGCTTGGCCTCGGCTTCTCTGAGGAGGGGCAGAGCCGCTGTCCCCGGCAGGGACGCGGAGCTCACGGTGCCTGGTCCAGGGAGAAGATGGTGAGTGCGGCGTTCATGAAGAAGTACATTCACGTGGCCAGAATCATCAAGCCCGTCCTGACGCAGGAGTCGGCCGCCTACATCGCGGAAGAGTACTCACGCCTGCGCAGCCAGGACAGCATGAGCTCGGACACCGCCAGGGTGAGTCCTGAGGGCAGCGTGGCCTGGCCTTCCTTAGCTTCGTGGCTGGGGCAGGAGTCCCTGCCTTTTCGAGCTTTGGAAGCATTTAATGTGTTACTCCTCCCTGGTCTGAAGGACTTTCTGTTGATACAGTTCTGATCGTTTCATTTCACAAAGGAAAATGAAATAAGCAAATAGGAGGGACTTCTACAACTGTTCTAGTCCTTATACTTACATCCCGGGCGAAAATAGCAGCAGCTGTCCGTAAAGAGCTCAGATTGCAGTTGAGGGGAGGGGATAAATGTAGAAAATCATAAATACCTATTCATAAGTGTATACATCAGTGCGATTCTTGGAAGGGAATGGTGAATGAATTTGCATACAGGTAAAGACGATAGGTGATTTTTTTCCTGGTTGCGAGAGTATGAAAGTCAGGGAAGGATTCCTGGAGCATGCACTGTTTGGTTTGGATTTTGACAGATTACTAGCTGTGGTTGGAGTTAAACAACCTTGTTACACAGCAAGGAGTTAAACAACCTTGGTGGTTACTCAGAGCAGTTTCTACTAAGCCAGTTTAGGTGCCCTTGAATTTATTTAAATCATCTGGGAGCATTATAGCTCCTACAGGATTTCATAGCAGGAAGACTCTAAGTTCAATGGACTCTTGGGTTTAGACACGGTCCCAGGTGATCTAGCCAGCCTCGCACCCGCAGGGACGGTGTGCTCAGAGCACCGTTGGACTCTGAGAGTAAGCTCTTAGGATAAAGCCGCTTCCCCACAGCTGCTCCCCATGGGTGCCGCTGTCTTCTTTATGTTAAATAGCGCCCTTTCTTTGAAGCCGCCTCCCCACACATGAGCTGTTGCAGCGTGAGAAAGATCTCTCGCTGGTCTGGGAGCTGAGCCGGTAGTAAACCCCTTGGTTTGTGCTCGGGCTCCACCTGCACAGCGTAGGATTTCACTGCGTTTTCGGGTGATTCAGAGCTCGGAACTTGTGGTGGAGTCTGTAACCTTCAAACTCTGACAGCTTTGGAAATCACGGAAAGATCTGGGGAGTGTACAGGGTGTAAACGTCAGGTTTTTTTTATGTTGGTGTAGATGTAAACGGAAATTTAGAAAACTTGCAAGCAGCAACGAAGAGGTTATGTCACCGAAGTGTCACAGAATGGGAGAGGGTGAGGGGTGCTGGAGAGAACTTGCCCTGTGTTTGAGCCCAAGTCTGGGATGTAACTTTGGAACTTTGTACCGATCCTCTCCGCAGGTCCTTTTCCTTATCCATAAAATTCTGTTAGGTGATATCAGGGTGTGTCACGATTAACTGATGCTTAGAAGACACACAAGCTTAGTTGTAAATACAGAGGTGGAGATTTACTAGGCCAAGGATCCCATGCAGGCAGCAGCATTTTAAAAAGAGAAGCACTCTAGTGTGTGCACCCACCTCACGAGAAGCACTTTCTGAACATCAGTGATTATATCCAACTTTTAAAATCACAAAGTACCGCTCACGCCCTACCCCTTAGGGTGACCTTGGACAGATTACACGAAGCTCTTTGATTTCCTTCATCTGTAAAACTTCTCTAAGTTATTAAGAGTTAGATATTAGAGTGAATATTAAAACACACTTCCAGGTGCATTGTACGCCTGTCACTTTTGTACCATTTTTAACCTCTTACTTTTCCAGCTGTTGGATGCCTGATTTTCTTCTCCTGCGTGCCCACGAGCACTGCCACATACATTTCTTCCATCAGCTTTGTTTCTTTTTTTGTTGTTCTTTTTTTTTTTTTTGTCTTTTTGAGGCAAGGCCTCACTATGCAGATCAGGCTGGCCTTGAACTCACTTTGTAGCCCAGGCTGGCCTCCATCTCACAGTGATCCTCCTGCCTCAGCCTCCCGAGTGCTGTGTGAGAAAGATCTGTGCGCCACCACGCCCGGCTTCCATCAGCTTTCTTCCTCTTGGAATTTTAAATGGAATCCGCAGAGAGTAGAGAGCTCTGCGTTCTTTGCCTGGCTCCTGGAGCTTTTCTGGTCGTGTCTTCATTTGCTTTTCTGTGCAGTCGGAGTAGTGAAATTGGCCAAAGATTCTAAATGAGTAATCTCCTGTTCCTTCCCCAGACGTCCCCGGTTACGGCACGCACGCTGGAAACCCTGATTCGATTGTCCACAGCCCATGCCAAGGCTCGCATGAGCAAGACGGTGGACCTGCAGGACGCGGAGGAGGCCGTGGAGCTGGTCCAGTACGCCTACTTCAAGAAGGTGAGGCTTCGATGCCTGGGCGTGAGCGCTCTTTCTATAAGTCACAGGGTGCGCTGGCTTCCCTGCGCCCTGGGGCGACCGCTGCCTTAGGATTTTCAGCGGGAAAACAGCATGTGTGGGGCTTGGGTGTGGCTCTGGTGGAGACCCTGCTTACCTAGCATGTTGCGTGCCTGGGGGTCAGTCCTTATCGATCCACAACAAACAAAACAGAAAGCTGCGTTTGTCTGCCTGTGCTGTCTGCCTCGGTCCTTCCCCTGAGCGGGGATTCGCAGCCATGCTGCAGCCGAGGCTGAAGTTGGACGTGGTTCTCCTGAGGTGGGTGTGCACCACATGAGGGCGCGTTCCTTTGTAGAGTGCTGCTGTCTGCGTGGGATCCTTGGCTTAGTAAATCATACTCTCTGTACTTAGGACTAGGCTGGTGTCCTTTATAAGTTTCAGTTAACCCTGCTATACCCTGATACTATCTATCTAAACTATTGATGCCAGGGCTCCTAGAAATTCTGGTTCAATTGATGCACCACACATTCCGTCAGCTGCTTCCTTTGCATCTTTAAAAACTTCGTATTTCCAAAGCAGTTACCAGGCCGGGGATTTAGCTCAGTGGTGCAGCGCCTGCCTGGCAAGCCTGAGGTCCTAAGTTCGATTCCCAGTACCCACAAAAATACCAGCCAGCCAAGCCGAAGGCGTTACCTTGGTAACGAGGCTGCTCCCCGTGTCCCTTCCCTGGGCAGGCCGCTCGTGGCCCGCTGGCACCTCAGACACAGGTCAGAGCGCTGACCTGTCACGACCTCTCTCTCGCTTCCCGGTTTCTCCTTGTGACGTTGCACCCGTCATTTTGGAGCCCACGGATCTTGATGCCTTGACTTGCTTTTCTTTGTTGCCCACCCCTCCCCCACCTGATGAACTGTAGCTCTTGGGGCTTTAGCTGTGGGCGTGATACTTTTCCTCTGTGCTAGCTTTGGGGTTATCTTCAACTTCAGTTAAACACCTGATTTATGAAGAAATGAATTGTTTCCACCTTAACGGTGTGGTTTGGACACCCCGTTTGTTTCTTTACTTGAACAGTCACTGAGTACGGGGCTGTGTGACAGGCCTCCCAGCATTTTTTTGACGCGTTCAGGATGGGCTGTGATTCGTATGTCTCAGTGCCAGGTGGTGTGAACCACCGGTGGTACACGCATGGCCGTCCCGTTGGGTGGCTGCTTATTTTATTAGTAAAAAGACCAGTAAAAGTGAGTAGAGTCGATCTGTTTGTACCAGCAGTGGTGCAAGCCGCCGATGGGACGGTCGTGCATGCATCGCTGCCGGTCCCAGCTGCAGGAGCGTGTTAAAGGTGCCCCTCCGGCTCTCCTGTTGCCCCTGGCTCTGGAAGCTGGAGACAGGAGAGGCGAGCTAAGTCAGTAGAAATGTAGAAGTTGTTTCTGCTGATAGAGTCGGGGGGACTCGTACTCAGATTTCTCAGTTTGGGTCCCTGCCGTCACCGACCCCTCCAGCACTCACGCTTGCCTTCGTTTCAGGTTCTGGAGAAGGAGAAGAAGCGTAAGAAGCGAAGCGATGATGAGTCAGAGACGGAGGATGAGGAAGAACAAAGCCAGGAGGAGCAGGAGCGGAAGAGGAAGAGGTAAGAGGGCAGAGCAGGGGAGATGAGAAGACTCCTGCCGGGCTCCCGAGGGCGGGGCGTTGGCCTGGTCCTGCTTGCCGGCAGCAGGCTCCTCAGGGGCCTGCGGGGCTCGAGGATGAAGAGAACCCGAGCGGAGGGAGGCGGGACCGAGCCCCTCCGCTGCGTGTGGTAGGCTGCCTTGGCCCCTTCCCTGCTGTGAGGACGTGCTCGATAGGGGCAGTCACCTACTCAGCGAAGATCTGAATAATATACTTCAACGTCACGAGGCTGTGTTTCTCCCTTGTGCCTTTGGCTGAGCAAAAAGAGCCATGAGTGCAGGCCTGGTGTATTCCTTCTAGTCTGGAGGATGTCTTCTGGAAAAAGCAGCAGTTTGTGTGGACCTGTCACTTTGATTGTAGATGGTCTTTGCCCTCCTCTTTGAGGTCCAGGGTGCGGGATGGGGCCCCCCACAGCCTTTGTTCTTAGCTGCTGTGGGTATTTTAGGAGGAAGACTCGTCAGTCGGATGCCAAGGATGGAGACTCGTATGACCCCTATGACTTCAGTGACGCAGAGGAGGAAATGCCTCAGGGTGAGCAAGCGTCCCCTGATTGATCGGGGAGGTGGTTCCTTTGATTCCCGGTTTTTAAAATTTGCTCACTGCTCAGTATTTTCCTGTCTGGTTCCCTGCTTGGGACTTTATGTCCAGGAGTCTTGTTCCAGACAAGTTTCAGGGGAAACCCACAGTGAAAACGGGCTTTGTTCGTGGCTTGCCTCCTCCTGGATAAGTGTGATCTTTTGCGAAGCCTCAGTATAAGCACCCTGCGCCGAGGGTCTCCTGCCTGACTCCATCCCTTTATCATCCTGTTGGGATTTCTCTCTCTGAATTGCTCTTCCGGGCTCTGTGAGAACCAGTGGAAGCAGGAGTGCTCACATGTCCAGCGATAGAGGTGGGGATTGCAGAGACGACATTCCTGGTGTTACTGGAAATGGCTTGACCTTGCTGTCTTCCCCATTTCATCGACCTTTACCTCTGCAGTGCATACCCCGAAGACGGCAGACTCGCAGGAGCCCCAGGAGCCCCAGAAGGTGGAGCTCAGTGAGTCCAGGTGAGTTGGGGAAGTCGGTATCCTTGGTGAATTCCTGCCTGGGTGAGGCCCAGCCCCAGGGAGGGGGCGCAGTGAGCTGCTCACCCACCGAGCTTGAACCAAAGGCCGCAGGGCCTCGGTCGGGACCTCTGGCACGCGTGCTGCAGCTGGCTCTTTGCTACCATCAGAAGCTCTAAAAGATGCAGCATTGCTGTGCGCGGGTTTTAAAACATTTTCTACTCCGATTGTACTGTCAGATTCACAGGAAGTTTGCAAGACAGTTAAAGAAGTCCTGTGTAGTTTTACCCACAGCTCCTGTTTTCTTTTGCATTTACCGACTGCTTTACTGCCTTTGTGGGAATTTGAATTATGGTGTCCTCGTGGGGTTAGGAAGAAGCCTAAACAAGGTCAAGATTTCTATCGTCCTGTAACCTTGGGGATTCTTGTAAAATATATAGGTTTTTTTTTTTTTTTTCATAAATTCTGGCATTTTTTTTTTTTTTCTTAAGATGAAGAATTTTTACTGAAGTTTCAGAAAACGGTTTTTCTGTCTGTAAATTTTTCTGTGTGCAAGGAGAGCCTCCTTGGCCAAGGTTGACCCTGTCCGCCCTTTCTCGGGTTGCCGGCAGGCTGAAGGCCTTCAAGGTGGCGCTCCTGAACGTGTTCCGGGAAGCGCACGCGCAGTCGGTGGGCCTGACGCACCTCACGGAGTCCATCAATCGGGACAAGGAGGAGCCCTTCTCTGCGGAGGAGATCCAGGCTGCACTGGACAGGATGCAGGATGACAACCAGGTCATGCTGTCTGAGGGCATCGTCTTCCTCATCTGAAACGGCTCATGGCTGTGCCTCCACCCTTGCCTTTCCCTGTAGCAGTGCGTGATTGGACGAAGATGGCTCGGCCTGCGGCGGCGGGGGTGGGTATGATGGCTGTCGTGGGGTGCGGGGAGCAGGCAGGGGGCGGGACCAGGGCTCTGCATGTCCACAGCAGGACGGGGTCATCCACCCACTCCCCATCCATCGGCAGACTGGTGTTGTTTCACGTAGACGTGACTGAGTATGTTTGTGAGCGCAGAGGCTTTCTGTTTGTCGTTTCTGTTTGTTGACTGTTTTTTGTTTTTTTTTTCTCTTGAGCACTTTGGTTGGGAAAAACCTTTGAGTTTTGTGCTGATAAACTAGAGGGGCACTGAGGCGGGCTGCGCGGGCCAAGAAAGCTTTCTTTGCAGACTTGTATGTGTTTTTGACCTAAATATTTAGGGCATTGAATAAACAGACCTGCTTTGTACACTGTGCCTCAGTACGTCATCCTTTTTGTGCACATACTTAGTATTGCTTTTCCGGAGGCTCAGCCTGTTGGATTTGCTGCTGTTGCATTTGCACCAAGACACCACAAGGTGGCAGCAGACCTCTGTGATTTCTTTGGGGATTATGTGTTCTATGGCTCTGCAAGACCAGCACGTCTCAGCCCTGATTGAGCAACCCGGACCCTGCAGATCTGGAGTAGCTCATTGACCACAGGAGAACAGTGAATGAAAGTCCAGAAGAAGAGTTGACCCCAATATAGAAGAATGCTGTGTTCTTACCCATGAAGAGATCCCCTGATGAGGTACTTTAGGAATTACTTACTGTTTAGCCTGTGGGCTTTATTCACCTGTTTGTACAGAAGTTTGTGGATGAGCCAGAACGAGGCTTTTTTACTACTGTGGTGTGGTTTGAACAGCTTCCAAAGAACTTCTAAGGTTACTTAAAAAATAAAAATACGCGTGACCTTATGGGGGCCTGGGCCACATAGATCGGAGGCCATTTCCCCAGTGCCTGCTCTCAGCTGTAAGATCGTTGAGGTACTTCTTTCTCCCTTTTTGCTGGGGGCCTGCCCTTTAATCTGAAGCAGAAGCTTTTCTTTGGCTTTTCATGACAAAAGGATTTTCTTAAGGGAGGGTGAAATTATTGGGGGGTTCAGTTTCATCTTTGTGGTATTTCTTTTCTACAGATGTGAAGTCCAGGTGCTATTCAGAGAAATCTAGAACGGGGTCCCAAAGGAGGGTGCCGTAGTTCTGGGAGGAGGGCTTGGATGTTGAGTCTGACAGTCAGGGAGATGCAGGGTCTAGCAGCGGGGCCAAGGCAGGACATCCACCTGAGGGCAGTGGGCTGGGAACACGCATGTGGAATATGTGAGCCTTTTACAAATAAAAAGTTGGTTATATGCCAAGTGAGGGCACAGACAGCAACAGGCATGGAGGGTTGCCGTGAGTATCAGGAGCAGGGTTGGGGCTGCTTAGGGGATACTATAAAAAAAGCCAGGGCTTTCTGGGGCCTCCTCAGGTGATCTGTTCTAGAGGAGGTCATCAGTCCTTCGCCTTTGGGGAAGTGGGCACAAGGGTGAAATGGGTGTGCCCGTCATTTGGTAACTATGGCGTCTTAGGCACTTTCTTGTCCCTGGGGCGAAATGCCTGGCGCCCCCAGGTGGGTGAGGCTTGTTTTGGCTCACGGTTTTCAAGGGTGCAGTCCATGGTATGCGGAAGGACGTGGTGGAGAAACAGGCCCCTGTCCTTGCGGCCCGGAGAAGACAGAAGGGCAGGGCATGGGAGGGAGATACACCCTCCGGCTCATGCCCACAGTCCTTCTCCTCTGCCAGGACCCCACCTCCGCCTCCAACAGCACATCAGCCCTGGACTGTGCAGTGGGTCACTGATGGGGACCACGCGCTCACTACCCCGCACCTTCCGGAGCCCGGCCTCCGAATCCATGAGGCTGTGGGGCGTCTAAACCGTAGCAGGGTTTAACTTGCTTACCATTTGCACCCTCTTCCAGCTAGCCAAAGACTAAAGGTGGTGTGCTCGGCTGCCACAATTGATGGTTTGTTTTGTTTTGTTTTCTCTTTTGGTTATTTGCGGTACTGGGGATCAGCCCCAGGGCCTTGTGCATGCCAGGCAGGTGCTCCATCGAAGAGCTACATCCCAACCATACAGCAGTCGATGTTAATTGTTATAGAATAACTGGATTCAGGAAGTGTATGAATATTTATATTATATTGAATTTTAAGGAACTTGGATGTCTATTTTCCCAACTTGTAGCAACAGAAAGAAGTTGTTAAAAAAAAAAAAAGAAAGGAGTGGGTAATTGTGAAGTGGCTCGCTGCAGGACCTGGTTGAGGACTCAGGCAGGTGCTCTGCCTGAGGGCATCACCAGTGCCATAACACTGCCCCAAATGCATCAGAAAAAAGTACTAAGTTTCCTGTTTGCTTCATTCCAAAGGGGAAGTTTGCTTACATGTGGGTTTACCATCCGAAGTTGTTAAAGTACTTTGTGGTGCCTAGACAAGTGAGTTTATCTCGAAAAATCATCGTATTTTATTCCTTAACTCTCCTGGACAAATGAAGTGTCAGTGTGAAAGGGTAGTTTTCAGAATAGTCCATTTGGGACAGTGGCTAGATTGTCAGTGTCTGGCACTTACCAAGTGACTTCTGGTAGAATTTGAACTGCTCTTTCTTTCAGCTGTTCTTTATCTCAGGGTTCATCAGTGCCTTGCAGGGTGCGTCTGAGGTCTGAACAGGAGAGCAGGTACCAAGTGTCTGCCTGGCATATAACCACTCCGTGGTAGCAGTATTGTTGCTGTGATTCCAGGGCCCACTAAGAGAAGGAGCACTCATTTTGATTAATATTTAAGACAAAATGATTTCATCGGATAGGGGATGGAGGTATAGCTCAGTGGTCGAGCACTTGCTTAGCATGCCCAAGGCCCTGGGGTCCGTCCCCAGTATTCCCTCTAAAATCCGGTGCTGCAGCAGTTGAGCTCACTCTTACCTTGCGGTGTCCCAACCTCTTTCCTGCCTTTCCGCTCCTCGATGGCATCTGTCCTCCCGTCTGTCTTGGACCCCAGCTCTTCTCACAGGGAAGACCATCCATCTGTGTCAGCACATTCCTCAGCTTTCTCACAGTGGTTTATAACTAGGGTGATTCAGGAAACATGGGGGAGAAAGGCGAGGCCTACAGAAACCCAAGACTCAGCTGGTTATTTTCTTCTCATTTCTCCAGAGAAGTGTCCACGCTAAACCTGCTGTCTGAATGACCCGAGACTTCCTGAAGTCAGGTCTGCCCACAGCGTTTGCCCGGTGGGGTCAGGCTGGCTGCCGCTGTCACCTGTGTGCTTGCTGCCTCAAGACACTCGGTTCTAGTAACAGCTCTGTGTTGAGCTGTCCCCTTCCCTGCCACCCACTCTGCTTCCTGGAAGCTGGAGGTGGAGCGCTTGGCACAGGCGGCAGAGGACTCTGACCAGAGAGCCTGCCGCTGGCGAGCAGTCACGAGCCTCGTGCCAGCGCTTTCGGCTTCCCTGTCCAATGCTGTGCCGCAGAGCTCCATGCCAGGCGAGGCCAGCCACATCCTTAGAGCGAAGTGCATGGTTTCTTTCTCTGGGAAGTGAGTGGTTGAGCTAGGTGATTTCTGAGGTCCCTTTGCTAATTATACATGACTCAGCGGCCACTGTCACTACTTCTCACAAGACACGTTAGTCCTGGGGCCACTATAAAACCTGAGTCAGCCTGCGTACGGGTCAGATGGGTCTCCTTTCACTTCATTCGTCATCCCTGCACGTCCTCTGAGGACGCCCAGTGTTTGCCGTATAACCTACACACATCTTCCCTATACTTCGTTATCTAAATTACAATACCTAACAGAATGCAGATGCTACGTAAGTGAGTAAGTGATTGCTATACCGTATTGTTAGGAAATGATGATAAGAAGAAGTATGCACAGTACAGACACTGTGTTGGAATGTTTTTGATCTGAGTCTCGGTGAATGTGCAGACACTAGAATTGTGGACACAGGACTGTACCTTTAAGGGTGTGATTTCTGTGCTTCTCTTTCTGGGTAACACCCTAGAGTTTTTTCCCAGTGATCTCAAGGGATTTTACTTAATTCCTAGAGAGATCTTAGGAAAAAGTTAATTTTAATTCTGTTTTAATTTGCTAAAATACACAACCTAGGTTACCTTCTCGGGTCTGACACCTCAGTGATGAGTCAGATTTTGGCTGGTCCTTTATCAATCAGCATGAAATCCCAGCTCATTCTCCTCAGTCTTTCCTCAAGGGAGAGAATTAAGATGCTGGATTCTTTTCCTGAATATTTTTACTACTGTTAAGTCCTGAGTATCTCCCCATAGCTTGTAGGTGCATATTAGCCTCTGCTGAGATTTACCATTCTGATAATAGTTCTCCCACCAGGTACGTTTTGCAGCAGACTAAGCCTTGTATGTTTAAGTACCACTATTTAACTTTACTGAGCACCTTGCAAAGGAAAGATCAGCTCGCACAGTATGCTGTTTCTAATTTAAGTGAATAGGCCCTGGAGTGAGAGCTAGAATAAAGCCCAATAAAAACCTCCCAAAACCAGACATACGATTGGAGTTTAAGGACATACATAGTACTCTTCTTTTGAAAGTACTATTATAACCAGCACTGCAAAATAGAACTTTAAAAGCTATACCTTTTTTCTTTTAGAGAAGCAACTTCTCCAAGCTTCCTCCTGCTGAGCATATAACCAATAACCTATCCTCTCCTCAGATCGGAAGAAGTGATAGAAATGTGGCTGACAATGCAGGCCTAGAGCCTGTTTCCCTTTCCTCAAGAAAGGGGACAGTGAGCCCCAGATGACCGATGATACCGCAGGCATGGAGATCCGCACTGTCTCTGCACCCTCCCCTCTGTTCCTCACTATAGAAAAGACCCTCGCCCCTCTGTACATAGGGGGTGGTGACTGAGGCAGATGGGCCCCTCCATCTCCTCAGAGATAGCTTTGAATAAAACCTTGTTTTCCTTTTTACCGAAATAGTCGGCCTCCTTTAATTTGTTCACAGTTGAGCAGATGAACCTGACTGTATGAGCCTAAGTGACTGGTAAGAGTATGACTAACAAAATAAAAAGGAATATTTGGAAAAATAAAGAACAAAAAACAATCTTATGGCCCTGTTGTAACTGGTATAATTTATTTCTGATGATCTTTAAAACCACTTTTAAGAATGCATCTTCACAACATGTTTTATTGTATCAGCAAGTTTCAGATTAGGCATTTAAGACTGAGGTTAATCAACAGTAGTCTGTAGGGATTTAGAAACAATATTTTTGAAACTTGGAAAATCTGGCTCCAAAGAAGTACAAACATTGTGGAGGCCGGGGGCCTGGAGCGCTATTTTTGCAGGTGAGACCCCGGGGAAAATACGGTACATGGGGCAGACGTAGAAGGCAGGCAATGGCGAGAAAGAGCAGCTGCGGCTGTGCTGTTTATTTCTT